TCGGAATATTTGAGTTTCCAAGGGAGGAAGGGGTGGGGGCCTGATTTGTCACTCCTCAGGAGAATGAGAGGACGAAGGACTATGACTTTGTCCCTGTTATCCTTGGTTCTTGGCGCTGGGCCTTCTGGGTCTGAGGAAAGAGGAAGCTGGAGGCTTGCACTCTTGGTTCTAAGGAAGGAGTGAACTGGGGGCCCAGGCTCCTGGGTATTGAGAAAGGAGAGAGAAGAGAGCCAAGGGACAGAGACGGGAGTGGCTGAGATCAGAAAGGAATTTGGGGCAGGGATTCTCATGTTGCTATTTACTCACTTGTGTTACTATTTTGTTGCTATGACTCACGGTCATGCCTGGATGCCATGCCCTGAATGATCCCTAAACTTCATTTCCTTTTTCTCTTCCCTTCTCCCAGTCAGACAGATGGCCCCAGGCCAAGTACCTCATCACACTTCCTCCCGGAGGGATGCCCATTCCCTCTTCCTCCTGTCCCCACTGATGGGCTTCCTCAGCCGGGCCTGGTGCCGCCTGAGGTACCCAGGACCTCTAGAGCCATGGCTGGTGGAAACAGGAGTAGGAGCAGATCAGGGAGAAGCTGGCCTGGAGGGAGAAGCTAAGGCTCCTCTGGCAACCCACCATGCCCCCTGGGGCAGGCACTCTCAAGGGGAGGCCGAAGACAGGAGAGCCCCTGAAGAGGATGGAGAAGCAGCCTGGGAGACCCGCCCGGACCTGAATACCAACAGTTCCCCTCCTGAAGGCTGGGGATGTTCGGATGACAGTGATGATGAGTATAGTGAGGAAGAAGCAGTGAGTATCCCTGGAGAGCAGGGAAGTCAAGTTACAGATGGCCAGCCTGCTCTCTTGTCCCCCAGCCTTCTGATAAAAACCCTGCAAGGTTCTGATAAGGACTGTGGGGAGGAGGAAGCTACCGGAGAGGGAGTTGCTGAAGATGAGGGAGTGACCAAGGTCTCTTATCCCTCTTCATGCCTGGAGTGTTGTCCAGTGGTGGAGGGGAAGGAGGATGGAGAAGCCGTACAGAAAGAAGCTCTCAGAAACTCCGCTTCTCCCTTGTCTCCAGGATCCAAGCCCAGCACTTTAGAGGACTGCCCAGAACGGGAAGAGGATCACGCCACGGAGGAAGAAAACACAGATAGAGAGGCCAGCGAGACCTCTGTTTCCTCCTCGTCTTCTGGCTCCAACCCCAGGGCCTGGGAGTGCTGCTCAGGAGAGGAGTCGAAGGAGAAGTGTAAACAGGCACACAAAGCGGCTGAGAGAGAAGCTGGCCCAGAGCCACACTTGTCAGTCCCAGCCCACAGGCCCCTGCTCAGGGCCTGGGAGGATCAACCTGATGAGTGCACGGAACAAGAAGATGAGGAAGAAGATGAGGAGGAGGAGGAGGAGGACAATACTCTGGGGGCAACTGAGAAGGAAAGAGGAGCTGAGTATCCTCCTCCTATTCCATTCGCAAGTGCCTTCTTGAAGGCCTGGGTGTATCTTCCGGGAGAGGACACAGAGGAAGAGGAAGATGAGGAAGAAGATGAGGACAGTGATTCAGGATCAGCTGAGGAAGAGGGAGAGGCTGAGGCATCTGCTTCCACCCCCACCACAAGTGCCTTCTTGAAGGTCTGGGTGTATCGGCCAGGAGAAGACACAGAGGATGAGGAAGAGGATGAAGACAGTGATTCAGGATCAGCTGAGGAAGAGGGAGAAGCTGGGGCTTCTGCTTCCACCGCCCCTACAAGCACCTTCTTGAAGACCTGGGTGTATCGGCCAGGAGAGGACACAGAGGAAGATGAAGAGGAAGATGAGGACACTGATTCAGGATCAGCTGAGGAAGAGGGAGAAGCTATGGCTTCTGCTTCCACCTCCCCTACAAGCACCTTCTTAAAGGCCTGGGTGTATCGACCAGGAGAGGACACAGAGGAGGAAGATGAGTGGGAGGGGAACGAGAACAAAGGAGAAGATTCAGAGGCAGCTGGGCGAGGAGAAGCTGCTGCCTCGGGCCCACATCCCTCCTGTCAGGCCCAGAGTGCCTTCCTCAGGGCCTGGGTATACCAACCCGGAGAGGAAACTGAAGAAGAGGAAGCTGCTGAGGAATGGGCACAGGCTGAGCCCCGCCCCTTCCGAGTTGCCATCTATTTACCTGGAGAGAAGCCCCCACCTCCCTGGGCCACTCCTAAGCTGCCCCTCCGACTGCAAAGGAGGCTTAAGTCATCAGAAACACCCACCCGGGATCCCGACCCTGAAACTCCCCTAAAGCCTAGAAAGGTGGGTGCTGAGGGCACAGATTCTTAGGGAGGAGGGGGCTGGGAGCAAAACTCCTTCGTCTGGTGGGGAGGAAGGGCTGGAGGCTGGGACCTCTGGGGAGGCCGGGACTCCTGGGGACCTGTGTGTTACCAAGGGTTGCATGTGAACTCTGTTGGGAGGGCTGTGGACACTCATGCAATCTTTTGTAAGAGGCTGGGCTTCTGTGGAGGAAGGGAGTAGCTGTAGCCAACCACAGCCCCAGGAAACATGTCTACCTGCAGTGAGTCAGCAGGAGATCCCATGACAGCCATGGGCGGGTGACTCACCAGATAGCAGGCATTTTTGCGTAACTAACTTTTGTTTACATCTCTCCCCTCCGTCTGTGTCGCTGTCTCTCCATGGGTCTGTGCCCGGTCTGTCCCCAGGTATGCTTCTCTGAGAAGGTCACAGTCCATTTCCTGGCTGTCTGGGCAGGGCCAGCCCAAGCCAACCGCCGGGGACCCTGGGAGCAGCTCGCCCGGGATCGCAGCCGTTTCGCCCGCCGCATCGCCCAGGCCCAGGAGGTGCTGGGCCCCTGCCTCACCCCTGCTGCCCGGGCCAGGGCCTGGGCACGCCTCAGGAACCCCCCCTCGGCGTCAACCCCCATCCCTGCCCTTGCCCACACTTTACCTTCCTCCATAGTCACTTCTGTGACCCCAGTCCAGGCCATGCCCTTGAGCCATGCTGTGGCCACTTCTCCCTCCCCTCCTCCTTGCGCTGCCTCCTCTCCTTGCCTGGATCTCGGTGGGAAGCGAGACTGAGACCAGCTGGTTTGCGTGTTATTTATTATCTATTTATTTTTTATAAGTGTTGGTTTATATAAAAAATAAAGCCTTTCGATTTGTTGTGAGCAATGTCTCCATGTGTGTTGGAATTGACAGTGGCCTACGCGTGGGTCCCTGGGGTGGCTAGGAGGGGAGAATAACAGAGGACAAACCACGTCTGTTGTCTCTCCAATGCGCCTCTACATATCCCAACACTTTTTATGAAACTAAGAGCTGGTGGGGTTTGTAATTTGTCTTTGGAGTCTGCCTAAAATGTTTTTAAACTTGGGACAATAATCTCCCCCTGGGGGCTGGAAGCTTGACTCCTGGACCTCTAAAAGAGGGTGAGTCTCCAGTTGTCTGCCTCCCTGGCTCCATCTCCTATGGGCCTTTACATTCTCTTATTGGTGAGTTCCTCAAGACCTTCTGTTGCCTGATTTCACATTTATAAGCCTGGTGTCCATAGACTCAGTTATCTGCAATGTGACTAACATTTGTACATACCTTATGGGATTGTAAGGCCCCAAAGGAGTTTAAAACAATGCTCTGAGCTGGGTGCGGTGGCTCATGCCTGTCATCTCAGCACTTTGGCATTTGGAGGCGAGAGGATTCCCTGAGCCCATGGGTTCAAGACCAGCCTGGGCAACATGTTGAGGCCTCGTCTCTACAATAAATTAAAAAATTCACCTGGTGTGGTGACACGCACCTATAGTTCCAGTTACTTGGAAGGCTGAGATGGAAGGATTGCAGGTTGAGGCTGCGATGGCTGTGAGCGTGCCACTGCACTCCAGCTTGGGTGACACAGTGAGACTTCAAAAAATAAAAAACTCTCTCTCTCTCCTTCTCTCTTTCTCTCTCTTGCTCTCCCTCCCCGCCTCTCTCCCACTCTCTCTCTCTCTCACTCTCTCTCTCTCACTTTTCCTCGGTTACAATCCCTTCCTGTAACTGCCCCTTTAATAAATCTCTTGGTTCCAGCAAAAAATAAAAATAAAAAAATAAAAAACTGCTCACCACCAGACACAGTAGCTCACACCTATAATCTCAGCAATTTGGGAGGCAGAGGCAAGAGGATTGCCTGAGTCAAGGTGTAGCAGGAAAAATAGATCGTGACACCGAGACTATTATAGGAAGTGGCACTTTATTACGCTGGCCATTCCAGCAGGCCCGAGAATTTAATGTGTCCAAATCAAGCACCCCAGAACAGGAGAAGTGTGGTCTTATACCCTTGTTTAGGTAAGTGATTACGTACTTCCTTTGGAATCTTACAAGGCTGTACTCAGCAAAATCAGATTTTTCAAAGAACAAATGGTTTCCAGGAAATGCAGGTTTGTAAACCGTCAACTTCTGAAGGGGGGTTTTAGATAAGACTCTTTTCCATTTCCATGAAATGACCAATCTCTGGGCCATTTGGCCTTTCGGTGCCTGGCGGGTCTTTAAAGTTGCAACTTGTCTTTCAAAAGGAAATACCAGTCGGGCTCGGTGGCTCAGCCTGTAATCCCACGCCTTTGGGAGGCCGAGATGAGTGGATTGCCTGAGCCCGCGGGTTCGAGACCCGCCTGGGCAACTTGGCGAGTCCTCATCTCTACAATAAATAAAAAAAAATTAGCTGGACATGGTAGCGCACTCCTGTAGTTCCAGCTACTTGGAAGGCTGAGGTGGAAGGATGGCCAGAGCCCAGCAGGTTGAGGCTGCGGTGGCCGGGAGCGGCCACTGCACTCCAGTCTGGGTGACAGAGTGAGACTCCAACTCAAAAAAAAAAAAGGAAATACCTTTAACTGCTATCAACTCCTTTCCTGCCCTGGGCTAGTGGAAGTTATCCCAGGTGATTGCCATGAGGCCAACTGCTGATCCTGAACCAGCTACATGTGTTTTTATGTTTATTCACTCAATCATACAAGAAATATATTTGAGCATTTGCCGCATCCTGCCACACAGGGGTTTAAGACCAGCCTGGACAACTTGGCAAGACCTCATCTCTACGATAAATCAAAAAATTAGCTGGGTGTGGTGGCACACACCTGTAGTTCCAGTCACTACTTGGAAGGCTGAGGCAGAAACATTGCCCGAGTTCAGCGGGTCAAGGCTGTGGTGGCTAATTTATTGATTTATTGTAGAGACGAGGTCTCGCCAAGTTGCCCAGGCTGGTCTCAAACCCACAGGCTCAGACAATCCATTCACCTTGGCCTCCCAAAGTGCTGGGATTACAGGCTGAGCCACCAAGCCTAGCCTAAATAAAAATTTTAATAAGCTATATCAGTGTTAGCTAGTAGTGTCCTTATTCTCTCAACCATGCATGTCTTCAATTCCCCACCCAACTTCACATCGACAGCTTAGAAGGCTCTGACTTCACAGAATCTGTTCTGATCAAACAAGATGGGTCAAATTATTGTTGACCCTCAAGAGCTTGGCGTGACCCTAATGGGTTCTTCCCTGCCCAGGGCTCTTTGCACCAATAGAAGGAGACCAGTTCAGTAAAGCAGAGGGAAAAAAACATTCGTTGACTAAGCCACAGAAAAGCGGAACTCACTTCCCCCTGGGTTACAGTAAACCCGGACTGGAGGTTTTTTTGGGCCTTGTCGGCAGAGATGGGGTAGGGATTCCTGGAAGAAGGTGGAGCTTTCTAGGAAGGTTGGAGTGTTGAGGGCTCGTCCTTTCTTTGCACCCGACACTTTTTGTGCCTAGCAAGGTACAATTCTCCCCTCTGGGGAAAGATTTTAACACTGTCATGAAGCCACGATTCAGGTCAGGGCAGCATAGGTGAGCTCAGGTCATCCTGCAGCTGGTTTGTTTACTGGCGTTCAGCTGGCCTTTGAGGAAGGAAGCTCAACATCAAGAACAGGTTATTTCACACACTTCTGGGCTTCCCAAAAGAATAGAAGAGGTCATACTCCGGTGACAGAATGTTCAGCCTCATTGCCTGTCTCTCTCCTCTGGTTCTCCCAGCTCCTGTCATGCTGTCTTCTTTCATGTCCCCAAACCAACCAAGCCCCCTCCCATCTTTAAGACGTTTGTATGCGCTCTGCCTACTTCCTGATGTTCCCACCGACCCTTCTGACTGCAAGTTCCTTTATATTCTTCAGATGTAGCATGAAAGGCATGTTGTTAATACTGTCCTGCCCTGATCCAAAAGACATGTGACTCATGGCCCTTTTTTTTTTTTTTTCCATAATCAACATTTTTTATTATGGTTTTGTGGTGTACAGTTAAGGGTTAGGTGTACAATTACGTTTCATTCAGGTACCCTGTTGATAAGAGGTGTTTCCCCATCCCCAGACAGATATTTGCTACTGCTAATCCCATCCCCCCCCTTTTTTTTTTGAGTAGAAGTCTCACTCTGTCGCCCAGACTGGAGTGCAGTGGATGCTCCTGGCCACCGCAGCCTCGACCTGCTGGGCTCCAGCAATCCTTCCGCCTCAGCCTTCCGAGTAGCCAAAATTACAGGCACGCGCTACCACGCCCGGCTGATTTTTTGATTTATGGTAAAGATGAGGTCTCGCTGCCCAGGCGGGTCTCGAACCCGCGGGCTCAGGCAATCCACTCACCTCAGCCTCCCAAAGGCGCGGCATTACAGGCTGAGCCACCGAGCCCGGTCTTTTGTTTGTTTTTTGGTTTTGGGGGTTTTTTTTAAGTAGGAGTCTCCCTCTGTCACACAGGTTGGAGTGCAGCTACACACTCACGGCCACCCACTGCAGCCTCGACTTGCTGGGCTTAGGTGATCCTTCTGTCTCAGTCTTCTAAGTAGCTGGAACTACAGGTGCCTGCCACCACGCCTGACTAATTTTTTGACAAGATCTCGCCAAGTTGCCTGGCTGGTCTTGAACTCTCAGGCAATCCTCTCGCCTCCACCTTCCAAAGTGCTGGGATTACAAGTGTGAGCCACAACGCCCGGCCTCACCGTGCTTTTGTAAACGAATCCAAGCTCATAGGGCTCACTCCATGACAGTCAATAAGTCAAGAAACAAGGTGTTGGGTAGTGTGTGGGTGGGTGGGTGAGGGGTGCAGTGGGAAGCTGACTATTTTGGAACACCTGCAAGCCAAGACTGAACTAAAGTCCTACAGACTTAAGTTAATATTGTAAGGTAAACGAAACCAGACCAGGCGAAACGGCAACAAAGGAGCCAAGAAAAATTTATTAGCGCAATCCCGGGTGAGGTTCTCCGGTCCATATATCTGTGGGCCGGAGAAGTCGCGCCCAGCAAGATGGGCGATGGGTTTATAAAGGGCACGCTGAGAAAGCTGTGAGGGGTATTAGGGAGAGCGACCATCGGTTGGGACAGCTGCCGCGTCTGCTGGCGATTGGCTGAACGGGTACTGGCTGGCTTTGCGGCTGGGGTCTCAGTTCCCGCCTGGTCCGGGTTGGAGTCATCTTGTTGAGGCGAGGCCCGCCCCGCCCTCCGGTACCTCCGATCTTACAAATATGAATTTTAGGGTTCTTTTATGTTAGGAAAAGGGCAAATAGAAGGGGTTTGAGGTCAAGAGATGACCAATGATCACAGATCATCTGTAACATAAGATCTGTAACATAACATCGTTACTTTTGTGCATACCCTCCTTATCTCCTGGGGGTTGGTTTTGGGAAGCGACTATTATCATCCTTGCTTCAAACTATAAACTCAGCTGGGTGCAGTGGCTCACGCCTGTCATCCCAGCACCTTGGGAGGCAGAGACGAGAGGACTGCCTGAGCTCATAGGTTCGCAACCAGCCTGGGCAACATGGAGAGACCTTGTCTCTACAGTAAATCAAAATAATTAGCCGGGCAAGGTGGTGTGCACCTGTAGTTCCAGCCACTTGGAAGGCTGAGGTGGAAGGATCGCCTGAGCCCAGCAGGTCGAGGCTGGGGTGGCCGTGAGCATGCCACTGCATTCGCAGCCTGGGCAATAGAGTGAGACTCTGACTCAAAAAAAAAAAAAAAAAAAAGAAGCAAACTGTAAACTCCATCCATAGTTAGCTCAGCCTAAGTGCAGAGATAAGCAAAGGCATTAACCTAGAAGATATCACAGCAGGGCAGAAAGCAAGGCTGGAGAAGAGTTAGGAGCAAACTAGAGTCAGTCCTACTAGTTCTCTTATTCACTGTTGCACTTCTCTGACCGTTTTGTTTCTTTTTGGTATTCAGAACCAATCCCCATGATCACCTGTGAACCCCATCAGAGCACTAGATTGAACACTCAGGTGGCGTCTAATAATTGCTCCATATTGTTATTGTTGTTATTTGTTGTTGTTTGTTTTTTGAGTCAGGGTCTCACTCTGCTGCCCAGGCAGGAGTGCAGGGGCGCGATCATGGCTAACCGCAGTCTCCACCTTTAATCCTTCTGCCTCAGCCTCTAATGTAACTGAGACTACAGGCAAGGGCTACCATGCCTGGCTAATTTTTTTTTTTTTTTGTAGAAACGTGGTCTCCCTGTGTTGCCAAATCGGGTCTCAAACTTCTGGGCTCAAGCGATCCTCCCACCTCAGCCTTCCAAAGTACTGAGATTCCATTCATGAGCCACTGCCCCTGGTCCCTGACAGTTACTGTTAAGGTGGTGCAGAAGAGGTCTTGTTTCTTCCAATGAGCAGTCACAGAAGCTGGTGAGAGGATGGTATTTTATTGAGCTATTCACAGGCCCGCTTACAATCAAAACTAGACAAGCAGATGGCGAATGCTTGGAGCGGGCAAAGCGGGAAGCCGAAGTCCATGATGAACGAGTCTTTGGTCACGCCGCCGAACTGCAGCACTAGTTGGTCTCCTGAGGAGGAAATAAGGCTCTAAGTCTCACCCAGACTCCCCCATCTCCCTGGCCCTGAGCTTGGAGGCTGCGCAACGCCCTTGCTAAGCCCGGCGCCGTATAAACGACAATTCCCAGAAGGCTTTGCAACAGCCGCGGCGTCTGCCTTGCCTGGCAAACGCTCAAGTGCTGATGGGAAATGTAGTTCTCATCGCCAGTTCCCAGGCGCTCCGGGTTCCGCGGGTGCAGGATCTGGAAGTTCTCGATGGATTCCCGAAAGACTCGACCACGAAAATCCAACTCGTAGAGATTTCTGTCTTGGCTCCACGTCGGGGTTTCATTGCGCATCAAAACCAGCCCTCGGAGAGTCCCGCGTTTTAAGTGACTCAGTAAAGATTGGTGCTCCTAGAAGGTAAAGCAGGAGGCGTGGCTTGCAGCCCGACCATCAATCCCCCTGTCTCCCGATGCAGACTCTGAGTCTCTGGTCTTTATTCCTCGAGCCACGGGAGTCACCAGTCCTTTAGGCTTCACCTGTGACCTGCAACCCACCGGCCGCCGCCTCCTCTGGGATCTTGGAGGACCGGCCCCCAGCCCCTCCTCTTCCACCCCCCCGGGGACTCACGTTTTGTGGCTGGACGCGGATTCTCTGGTTCTGTCTGTCCACTCTCGGGATGATCACTGTCATTTTCCGAGGCGCCCGCCGTCCCAAGACGACCCAGCCTCCTGGGAGGAGTATATTCCAGCCGGCCTGTCTCCCTCCTTCCCACCATCCTGCCCGGTTTTCTCTAACCCCGGGACATTCATGTAACACACAGCTCCCAGCTCCTGTCTGATCCCGGCAGCATCAGGGCCCACATTGTTCCGTTGGGGATTCACCCCGTTGTTGAAGATGGTGAACTTGGTGCCCAAGACGTTGGATCTGCTCCAGCAGGAGAGTGGAAATAATAAAAGGAGTGAGTGTTACTCATTGACTGTACGTTAAGTGCTTTCCCAAGTCATCTCATAAACTCTTCCTATTCATCCTCTGCGTAAAAATCATATTTCCAAACCGGGCTCGGTGGCTCAGCCTGTAATCCCACGCCTTTGGGAGGCTGAGGTGAGTGGATCGCCTGAGCCCGCAGGTTCGAGACCCGCCTGGGCAGAGAGACCTCATCTCTACAATAAAGAAAAAAAAAATCAGCCGGGCGTGGTAGCACATGCCTGTAATTCCGGCTACTGGGAAGGCTGAGGTGGAAGGATCGCCAGAGCCCAGCAGGCGAGGCTGCGGTGGCCGGGAGCGGCCTCTGCACTCCAATCAGGGCGACCGAGGGAGACACCAACTCAAAAAATAAATAAATAAATAAATCATATTTCCCGCATCCTGGGTCCAGCCACCCCACACACCGTTTTTTGTAGCATTGTATTATACTTAGCCTCCTCCTTGGCTCTTTAGGGAATCTCTTTCCTCTAGGACGCAAGAACTCACAGTACCAGGCCTCTTTTCCCACAGAAATTAGGAGTCCCAACCCCTTGCCTCTCAAGAAATCAAACATGTTTTTTAAAAAAGCAGAAATTTCTTCTCTATTTTTTTTGAGTTGGAGTCTTACTCTGTCATCCAAGCTGGAGTGCAGGGGCACACTCACAGTCACCACAGTCTCAGCCCACTGGGCTCAGGCCATCCTTCCACCGCAGCCTTCCAAGTGGGTGAAACTCCAAGCACGTGCCACTATGCCAAGCTAATTTTTTTTTTTTTTTAGTTTATTGTAGAGAAGAGGTCTCATCAAGTTGCCCAGGCTTGTCTCGAACCCCTGAGCTCAGGCAAGCCTCTCGCCTCTGAAAGGTACCTATAGAAACCTAGAAGAAACTTAGCTTATTCTTTAGTCTTTTTACCTCAGTGTAACAATTAGAAAGCATTTAGACATTCTACTGCAGGACAAACAGCAGCCTATCCCATCCCCCCTAGGCAAATCTCCTTCAGATGCAAGATCAGGACAACCCAACCATTCATAGTTTAGCATAATAATGTCTAATAAACTTTTGATTCCTTGTCAAGGCCAAAGTCATAAGAGTTTGTGAGTTGCAGATGTCTGAGTCTGTGAATTACAAATGTCTTGAATTACAAATGTCTAACTAGTCTCTTGCAGGACCCCCCCCCAGGGTTAACCTAATCAGCCCTCTGTGAACTATGTGACACAGATAAGCCCCACCATGGCAGCAATCATGTGACTAACCCACCCATCTGTCTGCTGTCCATCACCTGACATCATCAGTACCTGCGCTTGCCTGCCCCTTTGTGATGACGTGAAAGCAGACCACCATCCAATCACCCTAATGGTCTTCCCCGTTAAAAGGAGTCAACCACGAGCAACCAGCGGCCATTCCCTTGCTAGACTCTGGTGTAGCCATGCTTCCTGGCTTTGGCCCCCTCCCCCACCTTGGGGAGGTGAATCTTCTCTCTTCCTTCTCTTTCTCCCTTTAATTTACTTTGAAATAAACTTTTCTTTCTTAACCTTTTTGTGTGTTGCAATTCTCTGCACTTACTCGGATCTCTGGGTCGCCAGCGCGCACCTCCGGCTTGCCAATCCCAGTTGCCTCGCCTCTGCCTCCCTGCACCTCTGCACCCTCACCCTGTCTCTGTCGAATCCTAACAGCCTCGGCCTCCCAAAGTGCTAGGATTACAGGTTAGAGTCACCGCACCCAGCCCTTTTCTCTTTCTTTGTGTGTGTGTGTCGGAGTTTCACTTTGTCACCCACGTTGGAGTGCAATGGCACTGTCTGGAGCAGATGTGATGTGGGGAGCAGACGAGCACTGTCACTGTGGCAGGCCTTGAGTAAAGGCCCCAAGCGAAGGGACGGTCTCACTTAATGACTCCAAGCTCGTAGGCAAGGTCTCGCTTGGTAACTCTGCATCCTAGCACTGCATCACATGGTCCCAGAGCGCTGGAAGCAGCACAAAGGCCGCCATGTCTTCCCCGCCCAGCCAAGGGCTTGGGGAGGAGGTGGCCGAGAGGGCCAGGTTCTCCATGTCGTGAGTACCCGAACTGCCCTCGCTTTCCACGGCCTAGGACACCTCAGTGGCTGCAACTCAGGGGTGCGTCCCTGTAGACTCCGACTTCTCTTTCTTCTCTTCCTGGTGGTCGCCCTAGCCAATGCACCAAATTCAAAGTTGAGTGACAGCTGTCTCCCAGCCTTGGCAAATACTGATTGGCCGTCCCAGCTCAGGGTTTTGCCCTCACTCGCCTATGCTTTCTTTTTTTTTTTTTGAGTTGGAGTCTCACTCTGTCGCCCAGACTGGAGTGTAGTGGCCGCTCCCGGCCACCGCAGCCCCGACCTTCTGGGCTCTGGCGATCCTTCCGCCTCAGCCTTCCACGTAGCTGGAACTACAGGCGCGCGCTACCATGCCCGGCTAGTTTTTTGATTTTTATTGTACAGATGAGGTCTCACCAAGTTGCCCAGGCGGGTCTCGAACCCGCGGGCTCAGGCAATCCACTCACCTCAGCCTCCCAAAGGCGCGGGATTACAGGCTGAGCCACCGAGCCCGGCTGCCTATGCTTTCTTATTGGTCACACACCTCAGCCCACCCTTCTAGCCAAGTCCTCATCTCTTGATTGGCCAGCTCTTTGCACTCCTCTCTGAAGCCACGCCCACTGCGCCTACTGATTGGAGAAGGCTTTTGAGAACGCTTTCCATTCGGTGAAAACGTTATTGATTTGCTGTAGATATTTATTTTCACTTTTTTGAGTCGGAGGCTGGCTCTGTCGCCCAGGCTGGAGGGCGGTGGCACGTTCACCTCCACTGCAACCTCGACCTGCTGGGCTCAGGTGATCCTTCCGCCTCAGCCTTCCAAGTAGCTGGAACTACAGGCTCCCACTACCACGCCCCCCTAATGTTTCTTGATTTGTATTGTAGAGATGAGGTCTCACCAAGTTGCCCAGGCTGCTCTGGAACCCCTGGGCTCAGGCAGTCCTCTCACCTCGGCCTCCCAAAGTGCTGGGATTATAGGCGTGAGCCACCCACTCAGCCTAGATAATTTATAATACAGCCCAGAGCCGCCCCAGGTGAAACCATCTCCTGTATGTTCGCCATCGGCGGAGTGAGAGACATTTGGCCCTTCCCTATCAATGTCCCACCATCTCCGAAGAAGGGCGGCGGCCTTCCTGGGGCTGAATTTTAATGACCAGGCCCACACCGCGTCAAATTCTCTGATTTGATGATTTGATAAACGGCCCACACTCAGCGCCTTTGTGGGCTTCATCACAACAGGTTTGGTGGTGGCTTTGCCTCCAGGAAAAAGAGCCTCTGAAGAGGCTGCCGAAAGTTAGCCCCAACTTCACCCAAGGTCAACTGAACCTTCTCTTCATACCTACTGAGTGTACCTCCTCGTCTTTGTAGGATGCCAAATTTCCATGGTTTCCACGGTTTCCAGGGTTTGGTCCCATATTGTCATCTATAACATCCTGGTGTTTACTCTCATGCTCCGCATGGTCCCCTGAGGTGTGGAAGAAACCCAGGACTCAGCTCAGGACACCTAGGTCCCAGGACAAGGCCATCACTGCCAGCTATAGAACGACACAACTCCTGGGTTTTCGGGCATTACTCATGACTCAGTGCCCTCACTTGCAATATCCTACTCCTCCCCTGTACACATGGGAGTCCACAAGGCCCTGGGTGTTCCTGACTTCCCTGGGCCTAAGGACAGAGAGGAGTTAGCATCTTTGCTTTCCCTTGTCCCAGAGACAGCATCAGAGAGACTGGCTAAGATGGGGAAGCGGATGACATCGAAGAGTTTTGTCATGGGCCCAAGCCGGGCGGGCTGGTTCATGCCTATAATCCCAGCACTTTGAGAAGCAAAGGCGAGAGGATTGTGAGCCCAGGGGTTCGAGACTAGCCTGGGGAACTTGGTGAGACCTTGTCACAAGGAAGGAAGGAAGGAAGGAAGGAAGGAAGGAAGGAAGGAAGGAAGGAAGGAAGGAAGGAAAGAGGGAAGGAAGGAAGGGGGGAGGGGGGAAGGAAGGAAGGAAGGAGCCTGGTCATGGGCAGAAAAGCAAATGTTACAACAATGATATTGAGAGACACAAGAGATTAAAAAAAAACTCTAAGAGAACTATTACTATATGAATTCCTACCCCACGTTCACTGTATTTGTTTGCAGTGTTTGTACTTAGAATTCTGTTAAGTTTAATTTTTGTTTGTCTCATAAAATAACCGATTGCTTCCACAACTGCTGCTAGCAGTATGTGAATGTCAAGTAATAAACCCCTCTCGGACATTCCTTTGCTTAGCCTGCCTGCTGACATTCCACTCTGCTCATTTAGCAGCTCCCCCGTCAATCACAGGTAGCTGAGCGGACCAGACCAATTCCAAGTGCCCCCGTACTCATTAGGAGAAATTACCCTATCATGTAAAAACAAGTTTAAAGTTCTTTCCCCTCCCTCTATAATGATGTATAAAAGA